GACTCTCCGGATGAGAGTTTTTTTCAACCGGAGGAGAATGATGAGGGTAGTGTAGGAATTGGATAGATATTTTAGATTAATCATGAGAGTAATTTAGTATTTATCTTTGAAGTGTTTTCTTTTTACTTTTAAGGATTTAGTTATCATTTTGATTATTTATTTATTTTAGGGTTTGTGATCTCTTTATATATATAGGATTTGTGAACTCGTTATATATATAGGGGATACATACTTGTTGAGAAACTAGACTTTGATTATTGATTATTGATATTAAATTTTCTTCTTAAAACTCTCTCTCTATTCTCATCCCCTCCTTTTCTCATCCCCTTCTTCTCTTCTCATCCCTAATTCTTCCCTTCTACATCACTCTCTCTCTCTCTCTCACACACACACACACATCCACATAACTAACACAGTCCATTAGTGATGTAATGACTTCAATAAAAAAGATTGAACTTAACTTCCACATCTGTGTTGTGGGTGAAAGAATGAATGATGATCATGATTTTCTTAAGAATACCCTGTTTGGATCCAAGATTAAGCTTATTCATCCGAGAGAAAAAGATACGTTTGGATTGGACTCGATACTGTTTGAACTTTGAATGCAGGAATAGGGTCTAAGGACAAATTTGGAGAAACACTAATAACTGGATTAGAGCAGTGCTTGCTCCCAGAGTTGGGAGAGTTTAGACGGCAGCTCCACTCTTTGTGACTGTATTTCTTGTTCGTTAGAAGGTTTGTTTTCTTCGCCTGCTTAACTGCATCTTTCTATTGCATTTAATGGCAGTTCCGAATATGTCCTGATAGGGGACATCGGCCTGATTGCGTACCTGTGTGGGCATCCCTTAAAATCAATCCAAGTCTTAGAGAATGGTATGGTTGTAATCTGAATCAAATACTTTCAGGAAAGCATTGTTACAAAAACAAGCATGCCCAGATGAATGCTTGCTAAATACAGTGGAGACTCGCGCCATTAATCTCTGGCCTAATCTTTGTTAGACATGTTTACTCTCTCCAAATCCAAACGCAGCCAATTGTTTCTCTCTCTGCAGGATTACCAGAGGTTTGTAGCCTAAATCTGCAGAGTTTACAGGGGCATTAGCGTACCCAGAGCTTGCAAGCCACATAGACTTGCTGAATATTAGATCAGCCAAAGGTTCAAATTCTGGCCCTCAAGTTTGCTACGCAGCAGAGGCCAAAAACTTCACATCATTGGCACCAGCAGCGAGGAGGCCATGATTGGCTAATGCTTCAGCAACACACACGACAAAAACTCCCCAACATTTCTTGATATCGCCTGAGGCCAAATCTCTCTAGCCACAAAACAGCACCTTCAGAATGATATTAGTATATGTATCTATACAATTCTAGAAATATATAGTGTCACGCATATAGGAAAATGTATCCCACAAATTTCTTCTGGTTCATGCTTGGTACAATGAGTGTAAATTAACAAGGAATACACAACACAAGCTTCATACACAGTGCGAGCTTCATTCGAAAATAATATCCAAAACTGGGAGGGTGGTCTGGGCTTCTGATCACTGCATTAGATTCTCTCATTTAAAACATACCTGAGAAGCATCAAGTTTCATGGTAATAGTAGCCTATTCAGGACTACTAGGCAGGAGAACCCAGCTTGATTTAACTCTTTAAAGGCGTTCCGGTATTTTGAATGTCAATGTCTCCATTAAACTAGTGCAAATTTATCTGTCTTAACATATGAAAAAATGCACATCTTCTTCTAATATAACTTGGAAAAAAGAAATCAGAAGCAAACTGGCAATTAGGCCCTGTTAACACAGAAAAAAGCATCACCCCAAAAACAAAAAAAAAAAAGAATTTCGAGAAATAGAGCTTCACATTAAGTTAAAAAGAGTCGGAAATCATAAAGGTCATAATCAAAATGCAAAAGCTCTTGAGATCACAGAATAAATATTCATTCATACATTGGATTCCATATCGCTTCTAAAGCAAAAAATATTCAAATTTTATCAAAAATTTATCATCTTCCAAATGCTATCACATGTATCGTAGGCAGTCATCTTCACTGGGTCAAATTCAAACTTTTCAACCACATTTCTATCTTTTTCCACAATATCTGGGACTTATAAAGTTTAAGGAGAACCCAATTACAGGAGTCTAAAAATTTGACAACAGCAACACAAAAGAAAAGGAAAAAGAGAAAGTAGTATAACTAAACACAAAATGGATGCAGGACAAAAGACAAACAAGAAAAAAAGTCATTAAAAAGGATACAGCCTGATATTTTGGACTGATCATCCAAGTTGGGAATGATATTCGTGACAGAAACATACATTGAAAGCTTCATCCTACAAGATTTAAGATAACTGTTTCAATCAATGGAAAAAGAAGTGGACTGCTCCTCTCTCACTAAAGGACACATGATAAGAAAAACAAATTTCAAAGCAATGTAAGCAACAAAATCACCCTTGCAACAAAAGGTCAAGAACACAACTTCATAACATTATTCCCGAATCCTGACCAGTAGAAGACTAGAATAAATAGTATATTCATGTTGTGTGTGTAAACTTCTTTGCATTTATATCTTCAAGAAAAATGATTAACATATTATGAAGCTCAGAAATTTAAAAAAAAAAAACCCATAAATGCTTGTAACAACTTACTGTGCTCTCAGCTCATCTTGTTCAAGTTTATTCAAAATTTGGCGTCGTTCTTCAACAGAAACCCTTTGACATTCGAGCTCACTAATCTCATTGTTGATAACAGTGTTAATGTTATTAAGAGACAAAACTCTAATGAATACCATTGGCATTGAACCTTGAATCAAACATAACATGCAATTGAGTTGGCCGAATACTTATCCAAGAGTAGATGTTCTCTTTGAAATTCCTCTTCCAACTCTTTTTGTAGCAAATCTATTTCTGCATCTTCAGCAATTTCAGATTTTGTCTTGTCTGTTTTTTGTTTGCACATATCTATCTTCTTCTCATAATCTGATGCATATATAGCATGTCAAATATGTAAGATGGCACCAAGGAGATTGATGCAAACAAAGAAATACATGTTTGTGAAGGCAATTGAGGTAGTGCCAGACTAATGCATTGTTAAACTTTTCGTTACACTGATGCATTTTATAGCCAATAATCAGCCATAAGAGAAAAAAATTGATATCCAAACCTTCTTTGTACAACCATGGGGTTTTCAGTTTATCAAATTTTTAATAGGCCCATTGCATGCCTCAAAAGGAAAAAATAACACAGCAAATCTCGGGTTTTACAATATAAGAACTGTTTTTTTTCTTTTTCCGTAAGACTAGCTGAGCAATATAACAACAAAAACTTGGAATGCAAGACACCAAACAACACTACGGAAGGCACCTAGTGCAAGGAATTGTGTTGCGAAGGAAAGGAAATTCCCAAGTGTTACTCCCTCACGGAGTTCACATTGGAGTTTGAAGATGAATCCAGTAAAAACTTATGTTCAGCTTTAAAAAGTTATCTCAGTTTATGACGTGAAAATGTCTCCAAGAACCTGAAGATGATTTATTTCTCAGTTGATCACACTTGAATACTTGATTATTCCCCTTCAAGGATAATCTTGGATGAGCTTAGAGACTAGCTTCTACAAAACACTGCTGAGAGCCAAAATTTCAGCCTTGGAAATCCCTCGGCACCAGGACCGATATAGAAAAAACAATCATATCGGTCGACCATATCCTGGTTAACTTGGCTCCCAAAAGAGAAGTCTCCAAATCCAAATTAATTGCAAAAAACTGTCGGCATAAAATATAATCCCCAAAATTTCTTCTTGTCGTTCTCATACCAAAAACAGCAGACAAAGGCTAATCTCCAAGAAACGGAGATTCTAAGCTGCAATCAGTAAAAAATCCAAACCATATCTCTTGTCCACCAAGAGAGCGAATAATAAACAAACAACAAAAGCAACACAATTTGGAAAACGTGGTCAATAATCTCACTTGCATCTTCATAAAGCAACTGAACAAATTGAATTATAGGACTTCAGAAGGAAAGGGTGGCAATGGGGATAGACTAATTAGTCTACACAGACACAAAGTGATTATTTGATGCTATGCTTAACATAGTGTCTCCAACTCATACTTTGGAATAGGGATGAATTCAACAAGAAGACTAGTTTTGAGAAATGGCACTGTCAAACAAGCCATAGGGGTGCTAATTTCTTCCTTTACAGAAATATACACCTTTTTATAGCAGAAAATGAGATTTCAAAGATTAGCTTGATCAGACATAAACATCATAATCTATTAGAATATTTTCCTGTATCAGGGAATATTTGTCAATTGGAATATAGTGGGGACACTGGCTATCGGGGGTCTAAGAGACAATGACATTGATTGAATTTGAAAGAGGGTGTGGTAGAGAGGGAAGAGCTTACTGGGAACAATTAGACATTTTGAGCAGGCAGAGGCTTTTCCTACTTATTCACTCACCAAAGATTCTCATGTCTATTGTTTTCAATGAAGTGGTGATGGACTCTCTAGTCAAACGGTTGGTTTGGTTTTACTCTCAGTGCCTTTGTGTACACACCTCTCTCTCTCTCTCTCTCTCGCACACACACACATAACTAACACAACAGAATGAATAAATGCATGAAGAGCAATACTATATTGAAACTTAAAAAACTAACCTAATTTACTTGATAATATAGTCCAATAGTGGTATTTTGACTGCAACTCCTAGACTTCTTCATTAAAACTCTATCACTTGATACATAATTGTATCAGTAATTAAGTCAATTTTTTTAAGTTGCTTCATTAAGTTTCATAATTTGACACAAAAAAATCACCCAAAAATAAAAAAGATAAACCAACATTTTTTTTGGGTAAATAGAAAGTAAAACAAACTTGAAACAACTAATAATCAAAATTGTACTGAAATGAAAACATAATATAAATTCTCCAGCATAGTTCCTACAGCAGCAAAATCATTGTGTACAGGTAAAACTCCTATAACCAATATCCTCAGGAAATTACACTAACAAAATTTATGCAGTTACAGCCGACTGGGCAGCGAGCCTCTTCTTTGCCTCCTCAAGGATATCCCATCTTCTGCCCCAGCAGTGTAAGCTGCTCAACAAACTCACCTCCCATGAGAATTTCTGTTGTGCCGTATATAATATGCTTGACTGGCAGTTGACGGTTTGCAAGCTCTTGCAAGCTTCCATACTCCACATAATTACCACCACCAATCATAAAGACAATAGCTTCTTTGAATGGTCCTTTTAGATGGCTGCTACTAGTCCCAGTGCTTGACTTGGGAGCACGAGGATCAAACACAAGGTAAGAATCAATCTCAGGGTTCGGCTTCCCCTCCATCAATGCTTCAACAGTCCTTGCTACTGCCAGTTGATGATCACTAGACAATAGATTCTTCACACCCGCAGTCACGGCACTAATTGACTGCCCATACAGCTTTTCAGCCCAGTCGACAATGTTGCTTCTGCTTGCTGAATTGGCTGATGCTAGTGAAACATTTAATGACTTGATCTTTTTCACATACTGAAAAGCACTAGTATCAACCTCAGACTCCCTCAGTGCTGCTTCAACTATCTCCACTTCGGACTGAGGAATACTTTCAGTAGATATAAGATACATGATTGCAAACCGCAGCTTATCCATCTTAGTCCCTTTCCCTTTTAGCACACCAAGAAGTTCAGTCCGATCAATGGCACCTCTGATCATCATGTCATACTCCTTTTTCGCATAAGAATCAAGAGATCTCTCCTTAATCTCGCCCAACAACACAGTAGCAATATTAGTGTGCTTATCAATCACTTGCTTCCGCTCAGTCAACTCAGGCAATGAATTAACTGCATTCATCAAATGCTTGGTGTTGCCAATCAAATCAGTCCCGTCAAATTCAGCCCCATCACTTCCACCAGTGCGTTTATTCACCTCATCAACATCTTTCTTATACTTGCCCAATTGGGTTTCGATCTCCACAGCAACTTCTGGAAACTCCAAAGATCCATTCGCCACCCAAAACCCATCCGATCGATCCAATTCATATGTTTTCATTCCACCCTTCTCTCCTTGCACATTCAACCTATTCAACCTCAACCCAAGCACGTCATGAACAAGCGGTCTATACCTAAAATCATGCTGGATAGCGACTGACAACTCAAAATTCCGATCAAATATACACAAAACCGGCCTCTGAAACGAGCTCGTAAAATTCCCACCTTCTGAGAACAGGTTATTCTTGGCCAACAAATGGTCACGCAGTCGCTGATCCAACAATGAAGCGACCATTTCAGCCGGCCCACCCCGTGGGCATCTAATAACAGGTACAACAGCAAGTGTAGCCAACACGCAGAACAACCCACCCACAATTTTCTCGATAATCGCCTCAATTTCCTGGTCCCCCGCGGAAGGATCATTCAGTTGGACATAACAATTTTTGTTGGCAAGCGAAAACAAATTATCCTCTAGGGTTACAAATTCCAAATACTGATCGTGTACCTTGGAAATCCGATGAATAGAGTCGGAATTAAGCGTACCTGAGGCGAGATCTTCCAAAAGGGGTCTCGTGATGGACGAAGAGAAATTCAAATGGAACGAATCGTAGAGAGATTTGGAGGCGTCGGAGATGATGCGTTGGACATTGATGAGGGTGGGTTGGACGAAATAAACGGCAGGGACGTCATGGACGGGCTTGCGGTCCTTGTCGACGAGGAAGTAGAGGGTTACGCCGTGCTTGCGGAGGTCCTTGACGTGGATGAGAGGTGAGAGAATGTCTTGGCAGAACCTATCGTAGATGAGAATCTTATAGACCTCTTCGTTTGCAGTTCCGGCGCTTGAGCTCACCGGCTGGTTCAGATTCAACATTCGCGTTATACACTCTGCGCGGATCGAGAAATTAGATCAATGTCACGACACATAAATACTATCAAATACGAAAAAAAAAATAACGAAATTGAATCAAAACACGCATTTAGACAGAGATCTTGAGAGAGATATACACAGAACTAACCAGTTTGTTTTTGACGAAGATTGAGAGCCATTGTTGCGTCGAACAGAAGAAGCAAATCCCCCTTTCTATTCTGTCTTTTTTTGTTTGCCCCAAATAAATCGAGATTTGGAGCTCTTTGTTTCTGTGTGTGTGTGTGTGTGTGTGCAGTACAAGGGAAGCAGAAAAGAGTTGGAGAGAAAGATCGACATGAAACGACAGCGTTTCACTCACAGAAAATATATAACATAAATTACATCCAGACAGCTTGAAGTTTGTCATTGACCTCCTCCTGCACACACATATATAAATCGGCAACCTAGCTGTTGTTCTCTGCTTAATTCTGCGTTACGAGAATACAATTCTTGGGCAGAATAAACTAGATCCAGCCGAGTCTTTCATTCTAGTTTTCACCATGTGTTTGAAATAATAACACTCTAAATGTCTCGCTTAACCTTGAGTCCCGTGCATTGTGGGAAAATAGCACCGAGGGATTTGCAGAACGAGAATACAATTCCTGTGCCGCCAAAATCTGCAGTAATCACGCTGTTCCCAAAGGAGAGTGGACCCACTAGTGAGATATCTGGCACCAAGAGAGAGACCCACACCAGAGTGCCCGATCAGCCCTTCCCATCAGAAATGTCCAACCAGTAATACTGTGTATGTTCGTAGAAAAGCTGAACAGTGACTCTGACATTCCAAGCAATAATGTTGAGATTATTATTCGCAATTAAGAAAACTTGGCAACTCAACAAAAAATGGGGATGAAAGATTCTGAGATTTGATTCTTAAAGTATTTAATTTGATCGTTACATAGACGCACCGTTAAGTTTTTGATAGAACGGTGGAATGATCATATATCGGACACGTGATACAGTCTAAACAAAATGACACGTGATTGTTTCTGTCAAAAACTTAATTGACTGTTTGATTAGAAATTAAAGTGACACGGATGGAATATTTTAAAGACTCAATTAAAAAAATTGATACAATAAAAATTAAATTGATAAAAAAATAAATACTTTTTGAACCAACTTTTATTATTTAAGGATAAGGATGATGTTTTAAGCTTATATGCACGGCAGAGTTTCCCTACCAGAACAAATGTTTCGTTCGTTTTGATCTGAAGTAATTTTCTTTTATTTTCTGCCTGCCTGCCTGCCTTCTAGGATCTATTTGGGGTGAGCCAAAGGCGGATCATGCAGTCTTGACACTCTTGCCAAATCCCTTCTTCATCAAAACTTTATTGCTTGATACATAATTGTATCGGTAAATTAAGTCAATTTTTTAAGTTGTTACGTTACGGTTCATAATTTGACACAAAAAAAATCACCCACAAAAAAAAGGTAAACCAAATTTTTTTTTTGGGTAAATAGAAAGTAAAACAAACTTGAAACAACTAATAATCAATGTAGTTCAAAATTGTACCGAAATGAAAACAGAATATAAATTCTCCAGCATATTTCCTACAGCAGTAAAATCATTGTGTACTTGTCCAGGAGGTAAAACTCCTATAACCAATATCCTCAGGAAATTACACTACAAAATTTATGCAGTTACAGCCAACTGGGCAGCGAGCCTCTTCTTTGCCTCCTCAAGGATGGACAACTTGATACCTTTACCTTTAGGAAGAGACACCCATGGTTTCGTACCCTTTCCAATGGTATAAACATTGCCAAGGCGAGTAGCAAACTCATGACCAAGGGAATCCTGGACGTGGATGGTCTCAAAGCTCCCCTTATGCTTCTCCCTATTCTTGATGACTCCAACACGCCCTCTATTCCTTCCACCTGTGACCATGACAACATTCCCAACATCAAACTTGATGAAATCAGTGATCTTGTTTGTCTCCAGGTCAAGTTTGATGGTGTCATTGGCCTTGATCAATGGGTCTGGGTAGCGGATAGTCCGCCCATCGTAAGTGTTGATGTATGGGATGCCTTTCTGCCCAAACTGGACTGAGCGGACTTTGCAAAGCTTAAACTGCACAGGTAAAGACCACGCGGATCAAATATCCCAACAGAGAAATCAATGACATAATTATCATTTACTGCAGATGATAAGGAAGTGAAAATACTCTATAATCTTTAGGGTTACACAAGGAAGCTTTCCAGATTGGATGACTAAAGGAACAAATAAAGGTTGAATGTGCAAATGTGTTGCCCAATTGAAAATTGTTGAATTACAAGAGTCTCTCTGTGAAACGAAATTTGCAGCAAGCCCAAATAGCACTTGTTCAACTAAGATGCATGGTATATTAGCTAGCTTTTGAGTAAGAAGCATAGAATTCATAAATATAGGAATGCCTCATTTAAACCAACATCGGCGAATTTTGAAGTCATAGAATCAGCATATATTTTTGGAAAAAGAAAACAGACCTTTGCCTCCTCATCCCTGATGGAATGCAGCCTGAATCGACCCTTTGTGTCATAAAGGAGACGGAAATTTTCATTTGTCTTTGGAATAGATACAACATCTGGCAACAGGAGTAAACTAAGTTATAAGGAATGAATTCTATATATGAGAAAGAAAAAGAGAGGCCATCCCTATCGTCAAATTTACAAATCAAAATCGTTTCCCATGTATTACTAACAAACGTGATGTATTTGTGTGTGTGGATGTGTGTGTACAAGCTTGAATTATTAAGTTCTACACAAGGCAATATATTTTCTTGTATTTTCCTAGCTTATGACATAGCTTATCAGCGATGCTTTCTCAAAAACTTTGGGTGGCATGAGTTTAATTCATAGACAATCTGTAAGAGAAAATTAAGATAAGCAACTAATAGCAGAGTAGTAGAAAAGTACATACCCATGAAACCAGCGGGATATGTCTTATCTGTCCTAACCTTCGAATCAACAAGAACATGGCGTTGCATCAAGATGGCGATGACTTCACGGTATGTCAAAGCATACTTCAACCTGTTTCGCAGGATAAGAATCAAGGGCAAGCACTCCCTGGATTTATGTGGTCCAGATGATGGCTTGGGAGCCTGCACAACAGTATCAAAAAGACACATCCAAATAAGTAAGCTTCGAGTAGAAGGGAAACAGCACATGAAGCATAATAAAACTAAAAGGGCAATTTACTCAAGATAATTCACTCACAAATGCACCGCCAAGCTTGTCCAGCATCCAGTGTTTTGGGGCATTGAGCCTCTTCAAATGTTTCTTCAAACCCCTAGCCTTTTATTCACCAAAGAAATGCAGGTTTAGAAACAACACCACAATATGCATAACAAGTTGGAGTTACGTTGTATTTTACACACAAAGAAAAGCAAAGGAAAAAGACCATAAACAGACTCGGGTCTAAATGTCCTAAGACTATTACTACTACAGCAACGCTCATGCAGAAAAATATTTCCTCCACAAAAACATGTCACCAACTGAAAATTGCATCATAATTTTTCCATCAACAAGGACTAGCATTTATATCTGTAAGGTCTAAAACAATAAAGCATTTATGTCTATAAGAACTAACACAGAAAATCATCGAAATGATCAATGCCTTCCATCATACCCGGAAAACACTACAGGCACAACAGATATACCATGCACTTGCGGAGTATAGCACCCAGAAAATAATAACCATTGATTGTCACTCACATAATCATGTGGGAAAAGAAAACACCTACAAGATATATTCTGCAGAAAAACGCATTTGCATTTCCAGCACTGGGTTTTTATACAATTATATCAAAGACATCATTTTCATACATCTACTAGAAGTCCCATCGAAATTAACTTGCAAATACCTACAAACCAATAGTGCCGAATAAGAATATATCTTTCAAGACCAATAAATTTTGACATTCCATCTGCGAAAGGGAACAAATAATTTTTGCAAGTGGTATTCCAAGTAATAACTGATGCTAAATGAAGCAAGCTGCTAAACTGACATGTAAGATTCTTATATCAGAATTCCTTTATTGTCTCAAACCCTAATTTACAAACGCAGTATGAAAAGCACAACCATTAAGCGAAACCCAGTCAAGAAAAAAACATTCCTTTATACCTCAAATAGAGATATCAGAATATATAAATATATATACAGCTGCATATGCGTATTATATGAGAAAGAGAGGTTGGTAGGATGAAGAAACCTAACCATGGTGGTGGTGGGTGAAGATCAGAGCCCCAAACACACTTCCAGTACGCAGCGCTTACCCAACTCTCTCTCTCTCTGCGGCAAACTCCTCTGACCTAAAACAGAGTATAAACCCTAGCGACGTGTTTATATGACACAACGTCACAACCCCATGCTTACATGTAAGGGCAATTTAGGGAATGTACTAAAAGGATAGCTGGATGGGTTTTATTCCGGATCCGAAAAAATATTGCTTAAGTCCGATATTTGTGTTTGTCAAAAATGGGCCGGGGTTTGATATGAGGCAATATTGGGCCATCCAAATCAACTTGTTTTATGAGCCCAATACCCACATAAAATATTCGGACCTTTCCCAATAAAGCTTCTTTACTATTTTCTGTATTTTTTTTTGTGAAAATTGGAAGTGAGTCTCTCTAGATGTACTTATTTTGAGATAAGTCTTGCAAGGAAACTTATAAAGGGTTAAATTCATGTTTAAAATTATATGTAATAATTTAAGTCCACTTTTTTTTTATCTCAAAAATATTCATCCTTGAAAGGAGATTAAATTAATTTTTTATTTTGGATATAGTTATCCCTTAATTCAATGTCAATTAAAATATGCCAATAAAATCTTCGTCATAAATTTAAAATTCAAATTCAAAGCTCTCTCTCTCTCTCTGCGGCCAGCTAATGGCATTGTTTCATCAATGTTCATTTTTTAATTTTCTATAAATTATGTCAATTTTGTGGGTAACGAATGAGAATCTCTGGTCCTTGTTAATTTTATATTTTTTTATAATTTGTGGTATTTTTCGTGGGGGTTAATTTGTTAAATTGAATGTTTTATGTTACTATTTTTTTTATTATATTACTGTTCATGTTACTATTTTTGTTAAGTATGTTACTGTTCATGTTACTATTATTTTGAGCATGTTACCACTATTATTTTTCTAAATATTAATATTCGATGTTACTATTTATTTTTGTTTTTGAATATTACTATCTTTTGTTTTTGAATTGTACTATTTTTTGCGTTTGAATTTGAGAGAAATAATTATTGTTAAGTATGTTACAGTTTTTGTTAAACATGTTAATATTTTTGTTGAACATGTTACTATTATTATTTTTTAAAAATATTAATATTGAATGTTTCAATTTTTTTTATGTTTAAATGTTACTTTTGTTTTGTATTTGAATGTTACTATTTTTTATTTTTAATGTTACTATACATATATATATGGATATAGATAGATATGAGAGAGAAAAAATTTTAATGTTAGTCAAATTTTTAACCTATATACGAATATAGATGGATATGAGGGAGAAAAAATTTTAATGTTAGTCAAACTCCTAAGATTTAGTATTTTTTAATTTTTAATTTTATTTTACTTTTAAATAGAAAGGATAATATGATAAAATTAACAAAAAACAGACTTCATAATAAATAAGTTTCTTTGACGGACTTAAATCCAAACAAATTCATATATGGGACCGGCCTCCAAATTTCCCTTTTTTTTTTCTTCAATCTCATTTCCTGTCATAACTAAGCACTTATTTGAGCTTTTGGCTTCAGACCACTTTGTATTCGGTAATGGGAATAGAAATTGCATTTAAGTGCTCAAAGCTCGATTGGCACAACTACCACTTCTGTTTTTGTGGGTGAAACAATGAAGAATGATCGTGATTTTCTTAAGAATAACCTGTTTGGATCCAGGATTAAGCTTATTCACCCGAGAGAAAAAGATACATTTGGAGAAACACTAATAACTGGATTAGAGCAGTGCTTGCTCCATGAGCTTGGGAGAGTTTAGACGGTGGTTCCGCCCTGTGACTATATTTCTTTTTCGTTAAAAGGTTTGTTTTCATAACATGCTTAAGTGCATCTTTCTCTTGCAGTTAATGGCAGTTCCGAATATGCCCTGATAGGGGACGTCGGCCTTGTTGTACCCGTGTAGGTATCCCTTACAATCAAAATCTTAGAGAATGGCGAGGTTGTTATCTGATGAATCAATTACTTTCATGAAAGCATTGTTACAAAAACATGCAGCATGCCCAGATGAATGCTTGCTAAATACAGTGGACACCTGCGCCGTTAATGTCTGGCCTAATCTTTGTAAGACATGTTTACTCTCTCCAAATCCAAACGCAGACAATTTACCAGAGTTTTGTAGCCTAAATCTGCAGAGCTTACCGGGGCCTTAGCATACCCAGAGCTTGCAAGCCACACAGACTTACTGAATATTAGATCAGCCAAAGGTTCAAATTCTGGCCCTCAAGTTTGCTAAGCAGCAGAGGCCAAAAACTTGGCACCAGCAGGGAGGAGGCCAAGATTGGCTAATGCTTCAGCAACACACACGACTAAAACTCCAACATTTCTTGATATTGCCCAAGGCCAAATCTCTCCAGCCACAAAACAGCACCTTGAGAATGATATTTGTATATGTATCCATACACTTCTAGAAGTAATTAGTGTCATGCATTTAGGAAAATGTAACCCACAAATTTCATCTGGTTCCTGCTTGGTACAGTAAGGGTAAATTAACAAGGAATACACAACACAAGCTTCATACACAGTGCAAGCTTCATTGGAAAATAATATCCAAAACTGGGAGGGTGGTCCGGGCGGCCCTCTGATCACTGCATTAGATTCTCTCATTTAAAACATACCTGAGAAGCATCAAGTTTCATGGTAATAGTAGCCTATTCGGGACTTTTAGGCTGGAGAACCAAGCTTGATTTAAAGGTTTTCCAGCATTTTGAACGTCAATGTCTCCATTAAACTTGTGCAAATTTATCTGTCTTAACATATGAAAAAATGCACATCTTCTAATACAACTTGGAAAAAAGAAATCAGAAGCAAACTGCCAATTAGACCTGTTAACACAGAAAAAAACATCACCCAAAAAAAAAAAAAGAATTTCAAGAAATAGAGCTTCACATTAAGTTAAAAAGAGTCGGAAATCATAAAGGTCATAATCAAAATGCAAAAGCTTTTGAGATCACAGAATAAATATTCATACATTGGATTCCATATCCTAAAGCCAAAAATATTCAAATTTGATCACATATTTATCATCTTCCAAATGCTATTACATGTATCGTAGGCAGTCATCTTCACTGGGTCAAATTCAAACTTTTCAACAACATTTCTATCTTTTTCCACAATATCTGGGATTTATAAAGTTTAAGGAGAACCAATTACAGGAGTCTAAAAATTTAACAGCAACACAAGAAAAGGAAAAAGAAAAAGGAAATAGAAAGTAGTACAACTAAACACAAAATGGATGCAGGACAAAAGACAAACAAGAAAAAAACAGTCATTAAAAAGGATACAGCCTGATATTTCGGACTGATCATCCAAGTTGGGAATGATATTCGTGACAGAAGCATACATTGAAAGCTTCATCCTACAAGATTTAAGATAACTGTTTCAGTCAATGGAAAAAGAAGTGGACTGCTCCTCGTCACTAAAGGACACATGATAAGAAAAACAAATTTCGAAGCAATATAACCAACAAAATCACCCTTGCAACAAAAGGTCAAAAACACAACTTCACAACATTATTCCTGAATCCTGACCAGTAGAAGACTAGAATAAATTGTATATTCATGTTGTGTGTGTATACATCTTTGCATTTATATCTTCAAGAAAAATGATTAACATATTATGATGCTCACCAATTTAAAAAAAAAAACCCCCATAAATGCTTGTAACAACTTACTGTGCTCTCAGCCCATCTTGCTCAAGTTTATTCCAAATTTGGCGTCGTTCTTCAACAGAAACCCTTTGACATTCGAGCTCACCAATCTCATTGTTGATAACTGTGTTAATGTTATTAATAGACAAATCTCTAATCAATACCATTGGCATTGAACCATGAATCAACATAACATACAATTGAGTTGCCTGAATACTTATCTAAGCTCCTCCGTTAGTAGATGTTCTCTTTGAAATTCCTCTTCCAACTCTTTTTGTAGCAACTCTATTTCTGCATCTTCAGCAATTTCAGATTTTGTCTCGTCTGTTTTTTGTTTGCACATATCTATCTTCTTCTCACAATCTGATGCATGTATAGCATGTCAAATATGTAAGATAGCACCAAGGAGATTGATGCAAACAAAGAAATACATGTTTGTGAAGGCAATTGAGGTAGTGCCAGACTAATGCATTGTTAAACTTTTCATTACACTGATGCATTTTATAACCAATAACAAGCCATAAGAGAAAAAAATTGATATCCAAACCTTCTTTGTACAACCATGGGGCTTTCAGTTTGTCAAATTTTTAATAGGCCCATTCCATGCCTCAAAAGGAAAAGGGGAAGGAAAAAATAACACAGCAAATCTCGGATTTTACAATATAAGAACTTTTTTTTTTTTTTCGTAAGACTAGCTAAGCAATATAACAACAAAAACTTGGAATGCAAGACACCAAACTACACTACGGAAGGCACCTAGTGCAAGGAATTGTGTTGCGAAGGAAAGGAAATTCCCAAGTGATACTACCAGGAAGGTTGGTCCTCTCTCACAGATTTCACATTGGAGTTTGAAGATGAATCCAGCAAAAACTTATGTTCAGCTTTAAAAAGTTATCTCAGTTTATGATGTGAATATGTCTCCAAGAACCTGAAGATGATTTATTTCTCAGTTGATCACACTTGAAAACTTGATTATTCCCCTTCAAGGATAATCTTGGATGAGCTTAGAGACTATAGCTTCTACAAAACACTGCTGAGAGCCAAAATTTCAGCCTTGGAAATCCCCCAGCACCAGGACCGATCTAGAAAAAAACAATCATATCGGTCGACGTTAATGCCACCATATCCTGGCAAACTTGGTTCCGAAAAGAGAAGTCTCCAAATCCAAATTAATTGCAAAAAATTGTCAGCATAAAATATAACCCCCAAAATTTCTTCTTGTCATTCTCATACCAAAAACTACAGACAAAGGCTAATCTCCAAGAAACGGAGATTCTAAGCTGCAATCAGTAAAAAATCCAAACTCTATCTCTTGTCCACCAAGAGAGTGAATAATAAACAAACAACAAAAGCAATAGAATTTGGAAAACGTGGTCAATAATCTCACTTGCATCTTCATAAAGCAACTGCACAAATTGAATTATAGGATTTCAGAAGGAAAGGGTGGCAATGGGGATAGACTAATTAGTCTACACAGGCACAAAGTGATTATTTCATGCTATGCTTAACACACTCATACTTTGGAATAGGGATGAATTCAACAAGAAGACTAGTTTTGAGAAATGGCACTGTCAAACAAGCCATAGGGGTGCTAATTTCTTCCTTTACAGAAATATATGCCTTTATATAGCAGAAAATGAGATTTCAAAGTAACTCTAGTTGAAATTCACAGATGATAATAACACCTGCGAAGAATGAAGTCACAACATCTTGAGTACAACAATCAAAACCTATGAGCCTAAAAAAAATTTAAAATAGCATTCACAGGCAAGTCCTCACTAGCCACTGCTGACTAAAAAATTCAATTTCTGATAGCTAGTTTCAGTAAACTCAGTTCTAACACTTGTATACAAATTCTATGTTAGTGTGTGTAAACATTTATTAGCATAAAATCAAAAACCAGAGATTGAGTGAATAAATCTCGTGGAAAAAGATGAACCTTGAATCGAGCTCTGGACATCATTGAAATGGGCATGACATTGAAACTGAAGAGCCTTAGATTGTTCCAAACAATGCTTCAAGCAGTTGACGTCCTTTTGGTTGTTTAGGAACTCGACAAGGTCGTTGCTGTACGAAATCACCTTGTGTACATCGATTTTCGAGGCATCTCCCATTTCAAACTACAAAAAGTAATCTAGGGTTTTTTTGTGAAAGATAAGAAAGGATACTTAGATATATAAATCTACTAGAAATTGTTCACCACTGCATAACAAACAAAAAAAAAATTTAAATAGTTCACATCATATCAAAGCAAGTTATAAACCACATTTGATTTTAGAATTTTATTAGCATACAACCAAAACAAGTATTAAGAAAAGGAGAAATCAAGTACTCAAATTTCAAAGTGTCATCGTCCAAATGAATGTGGTATGTCCTTTTCGAATTAACTAATGGCTCCAACCTACATCAAAAAAGACTACCTTACAAATCTAATAATACTACATGTTTTGAGGCTAACCTACACCTATTATATTAAGGAAGGACTCCAATGGGAGTACCACAATTTCAACCTTCCCCTTGCCCCATTCAGTCAGGATGCCACTTTCCACTCACCACCCATCTTACTCCTCACTATCTATTCTACCCCCCATTTTGTCCACCTCTTAAAACAAGAGATAAATTATTTATAAACAAAAAATTTGAAACTCTCAAATCTTGTTACTAAAGAGTATTGAATTATATACCGTGTGCCACAATTCTGGTATTAAATATGGCCAACACACCTACGCATACATAACTCCTTTCTATAGGAAACTGAGCTTTACCAAATTGAATAGTTGTTATACCAAAAGCCCAACTTGCATTAATTGTTGGGTACATTTGCTAATACTCAAAACTATCAAACATAAACTAAACCTCTTTTATATGCTGGGAGTACAGAATATAATTTCATAAAATAATCAAAATCTTCACCTACCATATGACTCCACCGTTGCTATTTTTCAAAGCCATGATAACACCTCCACCAAACCAACTCAATTTTCTTCTTTTAGCTTTACTTATCTCTAATTGCATTGTCATGTTTTCTCTCTTCTGGTCAATACTTGACACACTTTATTTTGCTTTAACTCTCACCTTTTGCTCTCAACTTGGCTGGCTTTATCTTCCTTCATTTTTCTGCTGGTGCTGAACTTAAAGTGGCATTTACATGACTTCCAAGGCACAAAACTCATTATACGCTTAACCCAAATAGATAAATACTTTGCAATGATCAATGAAATCAATACAAATTTTAAAAATTAATTAGAAATTCCCCTTATTTGGAGTGAATTAACCAAACAAAGAGTGAAGGCACTATGTAACACTTTACTTCCAACACAACATAATAAAAAAAATGAAATGAACACAGAAAGGGGGAGAGAGAGAGAGAGAGAGAGAAAGAGGAGGATACCTGGACAGCGGGTTATTCGGTGGTGGCTGTAGTGTCGCTTGAGTTGCTGGGTCACTGGTGGTGAGATTCAGATCTGAGAATAATAGGAAAAAAAACTTCAAATCTGCAAATATGCCGAAAGATTATTCAATTTACAACCAAAATTTCAAATCTACAACAAAAATCTACAATTAAAAACAACAAACATTCACCAAAAGTTCAGATCTGCAACAAAAATCTACAAATAAAAAACAAAAAATCAAATATTAAAGAAATAAATTTCAGATTTGGGTGCAGTGTGTGTGTCGCCGTGTGCGTGCTGTTTATGTCTGTGTCTGTTGTGCGCGTTTGTTGTATGAGCGTGTGCGTTTTTTTTTTTTTTTTTGGGGGGGGG